ATATCATACATAGAAGGGATATAATTTCTCATTTTTCTGAATGTACATGTTGGAGAATCATATTGGTCATGTAGTCACACATATACATAAAGTAATAATGTCTGTTTCATTCTACTATCTTTATTTATTCCCACATCCCCTCCCCTTCCCTCCTTTAACTTCCCTGTACCTAACCTAAAGACTTCCATTCTGGTGTGAGGTCAAATCTCAGTGTAGTTTTGATTTGCATTTCCCTGACGGCTAATGATGTTGAACATTTTTTTTCTACGTTTGCTGGCCAGTAATATTCCTTCTTTTGAGAAGTCATGGTTTAGTTCATTTGCCCATTTATTAATTGGGCTATTTGATTTTTTTGGTGTAAAGTTTTTTGAGTTCGTTACATATTCTGGCTTCAAAATCAATAGAAGTAATTATTACAAGACAAGGACGAGCACTCTGGTGCATACCTGCAGATTCAGGGGAAAGTTACATTTAAAATACAGGGAGGGACATGAAAGTTTCTCTAGGGCTCAAGATTTTTAAACCAGAGGCAAGAAGCAATGAGGGGAAGATTCCAAAAGAATTCTGCAAGGTTGCACAGTTGAGGTTGGTGGAGGAAGCCCTGGAGTGCTCATTTCCCCACTTACTGGGAACACAACTGAAAACTCAGTTGAGTCTCTTGGTTCTTCTCTTGTCCAACAAGATTCCTTGGTCCAAATCAAATCCCTCTCCCAGGGGAGCTCATCAAGGATGACAGATGCATTAGTACAAAGGTGTGCTAGAAATTTCCTGCCTTAGTGCAAGACAAATTTAGAAAATTGGTGTGATTCTCACTGTGCTGAACCAAGGCATTGTCACTTCTGTGTGCCTTTCTGGAGGCTCTATGGGACAATCAGCTCTGTTGCTGTGTCTGACTTCTCTAGGCTGCTGCCTCCCTTGACTCATGGCCCCTTTTCTCCACTTTCAAAGTGGAGAGTGGAGTCCTTCCCATATGCACCTGCCCTATCATCACATCTCCTTTGCATCAGATCATGCTGCTTTCATTGTCCATTTTCAAGGCTCCTGTGATTACTTTGGATCCCCCTAATGATCCAGGATACTCTCTGTTAGCACAAAAGGACCAGGACCAAGCCAGACATAAACTCCACGGATCAGCACAGGTTTTATTCAGCAAATGGAATCATGCCTCTGATAGACCCACTTTCTTGATAGAAAATGAGGCCCTGGTCAAAGGGGGAGTTTATGCTTATATAGGTTACACTGAGAGGAGACTATTAATAAGCATGTCAGTTTGGGGACTCAAGAATTGCAATGTTTTACTGGACAAGATGAAAGGGTCTGGTGTCAGCAGTGAGTATCTGGAAAAGGATTTGTTTGAGGAAAGTTCAATGCTTTGGCCTCTTCCCAGAGACTGCCATTCCAGACTTGATGGATATCTCCTCTCTGGGGGCCTGTCTTGTCACTGGGAAAGAGCGTAATGGGAAAGGATCAATGTATTGCCTTCTCCCTCATTCCGTCTCCCGAGGCCACACTAGTTTGTCACTTTCCATATCCAATACTCTCCCTATCTTAAAGTCAGCTGATTTGCAAACGCAATTTTATCTGTGACCTTATTCCTCTTTGCCATGAAACTTAATATGTTGGTGAATTCTGGAGATAAGAACTCACACACCTTTAGGGGTTGTTATCCTGCTCACCATCACTCCAAGTAAGCTTCCTGCATTCCAGTATCTATTTCAGGATATTCACACTACAAACTCAACATGCAAAAACTGTCCAGTCAAAATTTTGAAGAGTCCAGCTAAGAATCATAAAGACAAAGTAAAGTTCATGGAAAATATTCACCAAACATTCAAAGATAATTCACAACATCAAAAAACAGAGTTAACAGATTAGTAAGGAAATGTGTGATATAATCAGCAAGAAACTGTTTAATACATGTAGTTAGCAGCCTTAAAGAGACATGTGAGTATACAAGAAAAGGAGAGAGGGACATAGAGGGAGACAGACAGAAATTTACAACCCTGAACAGACATCTATTATTATGCAAAGGAGTGGAGATAGAAAATGCCAGTGTTTGAAAATGATAATATCAAAGATCTGAGGAGTAGAATATAAAATACTGAAAATAAAAATCATTAGTTTTAAGAAGAGGAGGATTTTTCAGAAAAAACAAAAGTAAACTAGATAAAGTGATGAAAGAAAGGTAAAATTCAGGTAAGGTATCTCAGCAACTTGGAGGCTGAGGCATGAGGACTGCAAATAAAAAATAAAAATAAGAGGGCTGGAATGTGGCTCTGTGATTGAGCGCCACTAGGTTTAATCCCTAGTATAATAATAATAATAATAATAATAATAATAGTGTAAAATTCTTGAAAGATAGAGTTTAAGTTTTATTTTTAATAATGATGTAAGAATATGAAAAGAAATTTGGTAAAAAATTATTTAAAATTTTTTGAAAAGCTCTTATAATTAATGGAGATATAGAATTTCATTACCTAAGGACATACTGAATAGTGAATATAATTTTAAAAATATAAATCTGCATTCAAATATGAAAAGTTCAGAATATTAAAAATAGACATTCTATCTAAAGAACAGAAAAAAGTTTAAAAAGTTTAAAAAAAAGTAGCATTATGATTTTTGTCAATAGTGCTCATTGCTAGAGGAAACAAAGCAGAACAGCAAATATACAAAGCTAATAGAATAGAACTTTGTTCCAAAATTCTAAATTTTATTTCTAATTTTCAAATATTAGGACAAATGAGGAAATACTTAGACATAAAGATAAACTAAATATTGTCAAAGCAAGGAGGGCAATGACTGTCAGCAGAGCTGAAGTGGGAGATACTTAGTGTTCCCCATAAAGACTAATGAAACCCAGAGCAAGAAAATGCAAAGACAATTGTAGAAATAAATTACTAAAACATGTCTTATCAAGTTAACATGGTCATTTAATTTAATTTTTTTAATCTGGAAATAAGATTCTAGATGGCAGCAACATAAGAGAGGTGGACACCAAAGGAGAAAAGAAAAATGTAAAAGAAAACTATATTTTTGTTTTATTCAAAGTAGGGTTGTTTTAATGGAAAATTAGAAAATTTTAATACTAACTATAGAAGAGATGCAATTTCAAATATGCAATTTGAAAACATCAGTGGGAAGGAAGTTTTTGAAAATATAGAACTAAATGAAATAATTGACAGCATGAAATTAAGAAAAATAAAATCATTCAAAAATGTGAAGTTTTAAAAATACTGAATGAAAAACAAAGATTAACAGAGAAGAAATCTATTCTGATTGGTAATAATTCTATCACCTAAGAATTGTACTTCAAAAAATAAATCCTGAATGTTACTATAAAATATAAAAGAGGATTCATGGATATGGAACATATATTCTAATTAAAAATTATATAAATATGTATTAATATATGACTACATAATCAAAATCAATATTACAAAATAAAACACAAATTATTTTAATCTATGTAAGTCAATGAATAGTTTAACATAAATACTATGTGTAGTTGTAAAACTAAAAATTTGTACTCCATTATCAGACAAGCACATTCTAGAATTCACCTCTGGACAAATGAGAGGGAAGCTGGGGTGGTGCAGATTTAATGGTGATTTTTACTTTAATGTTGTATATATTTAATTAAGCATTATCTGAGATGGGTGCAATGTAAGTTCATTATTGTTTGCAGGAAAAAAATTGTAATATTTTTACTTTAGCTTCTTTTTAAAATAGTCTCAATATTAAAATTTCAAAAACATGTAGAATAATGTTGTCAAGTTTGTTGACACAAAGTTTACAGCTTGTTATTGGCAATTTTATTAATGAACTGCTTAAAAAATCCTCACTCAAGCTCATTTGAAAGGGGCTCTTCAGAGCTAAAATTGCAGCTTTTACATTCAAGTCTGTGGAGGAACTAGTGATATATCATGGTTCCCAGATGAAAGTCTTTGGATTTGGGGATAGAGTATTTTAGTGTCAACTATGGGTTGTAAAAACAAAACTGCATGAAGTGAAACATCCCATTGATGTTTTCAAATTGCATATTTTTTATCTCTTCTATATATAGTTTTAAAATTTTCTAATTTTATTTTTTTTTAATTTTCCATTAAAACTACCCTACTTTGAATAAAACAAGAATATAGTTTTCTTGTACATCTTTCTGTTCTTCTTTGGTGTCCACCTCTCTTATGCTGCTGCCATCCAGAATCTTATTTCCAGATTTAAAAGACAAGCATATATCACATAAAGAGAAAAACTATAGTTAGCTAGATTATTAGAACTCACTTATGCTTCTACCAGGAGCTCAAGGCAGAGGGTCAATCAGTGATGTTATTGTTGCTATGTGTGAGATATAGTCTTGAAATAACATATTTGCTTTGGCTTTCCATGCACTATATCTTATGTATTTGGCAGATGATTCCACTTGAACTTACAGATTTGGCAATGATTGTTTTCAACCCAGGACATGGCTTTACAAAAACACAACAAAGTAACAAAGTACAAGCTCCACAGAGTCAGACATTTGTGTTAATTTGGTGTCTTGATTTATCCCCAGCAGTTAAAAATGATTCAAGGTATATAATAGAACACAAAGTGAATGCAAATTAAATCAATAATCAAATGTATGAATGCGTGAATGGAAGAAAACAGAAAAGGAAAGAAGGAAGAACAAAAGGGGTTGACAGGTCACATTTCCAGTGCCACATATCTCAAATCGAAGAGCACAAGAGGCCCAGTATGATAAGTTCATTTCCAAGTCATACAGGCAAAGGCCACACAACTCTCTCCCAAGATATTCCTTTTGGGATAGCCCATCAGTCTTCGAACTTGAGATACAATGAAGTTTCTACAAGTCTCTGGATCCATTTGTCTACAGCCAGGAACACACCAACTTGTACTGAAAATTGGCAGCAATAAAGGAAGGAACAGGAGACAGTCATTAAGGCAAGAGCATGAGTCTCCCAAGAAGGTTCAAAATCCTTAGAAAAGAAATATGAGTGTCATCTTTTGGTAAACACATGAAGAACTCTCTCTCGTATCTGTTTGGTCCTCACACCATAAATAATGGGATTAAGTGAAGGTGGAATAACCAAATAGAGGTTTGCAACCAAAATGTGAATGTACTGTGGTATTTTGTGTCCAAATCGATGAGTAAGGAAGGAGAAGAGGGATGGTATATAGAAAATGCAGAGGACTGCAACATGAGAACTACACGTGCTTAGAGCCTTCAGCCGTGCATCCTGTGATGGGAGACGGAAGACGGCACGGAGAATGTGAACGTAAGAGATGCCAATAAGAACCAGGTTCAGAAGAAAGAGGGAGACTACAAAGAGCCCATAGGCAGCATTGACATGAATATTTCCACAGGACAATTTGGCAATGCCCATGTGCTCACAGTAGGAATGGGCCATTATCCGAGCCTGACAGAAAGGTAGGCGGTAAATGAGATAGATGAAGGGGAATGTGATCAGAGCTGGACGAATTACAATGCACATGCTGATGCCCACCAGCACGCGAGATGTCAAGATGCTTGTGTAATGGAGTGGAGCACAGATGGCCACATAACGGTCAAAGGCCATGGCCATCAGGACTTCAGCCTCCATGCCAGTGATGGTATGAATCAAAAACATCTGAGCGACACAACTTACAAAGTTAATCTCATGAGCATCAAACCAGAAGATACCCAGCATGCGAGGTATAGAGGTTGTAGAAAGGGCCAAATCAATTGTTGAAAGGATGACCAGAAAGTAGAACATGGGCTCTCGGAGAGACTTCTCTGCCTTGATGACTGTCAGAATTGTGGCATTGCCTATTAAAGCCACAAGGTAGATACAGCAGAAAGGCAGAGAGATCCAGGCATGGACCTTTTCCAGACCTGGGATTCCAATGAGAAAAAATGTGGCTGGGTGAAGAACACTCCTGTTGTGGTATACCATCCTACCCTGGTCAGAATAGGTGACACTCTTCCTCCTGTTGGGGACAAAGCAAAAGAAGTAAGATGAGGAAGGAGATGATACATTAAATCGCTGGCTCTATGTTGCAGCAGAGTCGAAGTTACATTTATTATGAGAACAGGCCTTCTATCAAAGCTTGTATGATCATCCTTTTGGCCATTTAAATGGTTCAGGGCATGGTCAGATTCAGAGTTTTCATTCTGACTGTTGACTCCATACTAGTTGTGAGCATGGAGGTTTGCCACAAACGTGAGGCAGATTGCTAATAATTAGACTTTTCTGTTCCCTTTTGAAGAAAATGCATGTTTTGTTTTTTTTTAACTCTTCTGGGGAGTCATTTTTTGGTGAGACTCTGACACAAAATTATCACAAGACAGAGAAAGTCAAGAATGCCTTTAGGCATCCCATAATCAAACTAAATCATAAACCCTGGTATATAGGCATTCCCACACTCAACACCTAAATTTTCTGACTCCCCCTTATTGATTGACATACTGAAACATATATAAGCTCTGACTCAAGCCCAATAACCTCTCACGCACACTGAAACAGACCATAAAAAAAATGTATTTGGATGTTCACAAGTGTTGGTTATTTGAGATGCTTGACCAGGAGTAGAAATCACTACTGTTTGTGACATACAGACTACAGGGAGTACCAGTCAGAAAAGGTGTAAGGAGGGATAATGACATCACACCCTTCTGTCCATTACCACATCAGGTACTCTCAAAATAACTATTAATTTTACCTGTTTTAATTTTACCCTTGTTAGGAAGTCAACACTTAACTTGGTCACTCCTCCTACCAGTTCAAGGCACTAGAAGTACAGATAGAAGAAAATCCTGGCAGCTCAGGTAGTTTGGGTATTCAAGAAGGTTTTGTTGTTGTTTTAAGTTTTCTTGGATAGCAATACTTCAATGGAGAAGGAATCTACTTCAGTAATCTAAAGGGAATGGATAAAGATAAACTAAATTAACACCTTCAAAATTCTACAAATGAACCAAGCTTCTTAGAATGAGATGAAGAGACTTGTCCTGGGACCTGTGAAATCATAGTTACGATTCAAAATCAAGCCTAGACACAGTTGTGTTCATCCTTGGCATAGCTTCATTTTCTAACCACTTTTAAAATTCTCTTTTTTTCCCAACACAAGAAATATACTAAGGTAAAAAAATATATAAATAAATTCACCATCCTTTTGAGTTTATCCCAACATAGAGAAAACAGTTGGTGCAATGTGTACTGAGTCTTATTAGTGTTCAATAAAATGTAGACATACTAGTTACTATTCTGACAGGGTTTAACTTTCAGAATATATTTTTTAAAAAACCCTCAAATAACCCAATCACTAAATGAGAAACTAAACATATTTCTCAAAAGAAAAAATATGAATGGTCAACAAATATATAAAAAAATGGTCAATATCCTTAGCGATTACAGAAAAGCAAATCAAAATTACACTGAGATATCAACTCACTCCAATTAGAATGGCAATCATCAGGAATACAAATAACAGTAATTTCTGGTAAGGATGTGGGAACAAAGTACACTTACACATTGATGGTAGGACTAAAAATTGTTACAATCACTTGGAAAACAGTATGGATTCCTCAAAAGACTGGTATGTAACCACCATATGATCTAGCTATCCCACTCCTTGGTATTTATCCAAAAGCATCACAATCATCATACTATGGTGACACATGCATACCAATGCTTCAGCAGCACAATTCACAATAGCCACCTTATGCAATCAGCCTATATACCTGTCAACAGTCAAAACGATGAAGAAAATGTTGTATACAGATAGATATAATGAAGTTTTACTTAGCCATAAAGAAGAATGAAATCATGTAATGTGCAAGCAAATGGTTGGAACTGGAGAATATCATGCTGAGTGAAAAAAGCCAGACTCAGAATATTAAGAGTCAGATGTTTTCTCTCATATGCAGAAATTAGAGATAAATAAAGAATTTTAAAAAGTGGGGAGATCTCATGAAAATAAAAAAGGGAACAATGGAGTAGAGGAAAAGGAGTAGGGGTAAGGAGGAGGGGTAAAAAAGGGAAGCAACTGTAGAATAAAATTGAATATATTAAGCTATGTACATGTATGAATTCATCACAGTGAACTTCGCCTTATGTATAACTATAATGCACCTATTTAAGAACAGTAAATAAATAAAAAGATGCTACTAGAGTAAAGGAAGGAGATTCGAGGAAGGGAGGAGTAGAGGCAAAAGGGAAGTACTAGGAACTGAATATCAGCAAACCATGTTAAAAGTATTTATGATTATGTTAGAACTAACCCTACTATTAGGGTTAGTTACAGCCCAGTACTTACTCCCCTTTTTAAGTAGAGCCTGAAAGATATGTATTTATTAGGTATAAGTATAAGGTGTCAATAAAAATATTTTAAAAAATAGACACTCTGGCCAATTAAACCATCATTGTTCAATAGAAAGACAATGGCAAGACCCAATGCTAGTAAGTCCCAGGGACTTACTTTAAGGTTACCTCTGAGCCCATCCACAACAGATGTTTTCTACTGGACTCATTGCATTTACTGCTGTAGAAATTGATTTCATCTAAGGCAAATGATAGTATATTATGGTTTATATCTTCATGAGATAGTTCATACATAACTTTTAAATTTAAAACATAACTTTTAATATATTTATGATTTAATGCATGCGTAATTATATATATTATGATTTGAGACAAAATGTATTACAATTTAACACCTAAATTTCTTGTCTGCTTGGTGCATGTTGGTCACATAGTCTAGTCTTAGCCTTCACTGCCCAAATATCTCTCCAGGTACTGCCACATCTACGCACCAGACATCAAGAGCTGATTCACCTCCGTCTTCCACAAAACATCAAACAGCCCAGTACTTACTCCCCTTTTTGAGTAGAGCCTGTAAGACATGTTTATATCAGTTTTCTAAAACCAATGGGATATCCATTTTAATCTTGACTTAGACCTAGGGGACTGAGGTCCTCAGAGACTTCCCACAAACTCCTAGATCCTGCTTCAGGAGCAAAAAAGCCCAAGGAATACAAAAGCAAATTGAGATGTATGGAAATAAACATCAACAATTGGGGATAAAACACACAGTTAATGTCATCTGTATTTTACGGTGTAAAAACAGATAACTGCTTCTCCATATGAATATGATTAAATGGCCCAATTCTATGGTCTTTCTACATATAGAAGAAACTGGCTGATTTAATTTAAAATTTTAATTAATATCAAAAGCTTCTTTTTTACTGTAAGTGTCACCATTTCTCCTCATGAATAGTTTTTTTTTTTCTGCTATAACTACATTGAGTTTTCCCTGCTTAACATAAGAACACAGAACCTTGATTTTTTTATCCAAATTTTTTTTCTGTATAAGAATATTCCACATTCACCACCAAACTTTCAAATGTATAACTTAAAAAAACTCTAATGACAAATATCAAAAATTCCAATTCTGGAGTAATCTTGCTGGTGTTCATATCTGGCTTGTCACATTCTAGCTGTGTGATTTTGGGTGTCTTATGCATCATTTCTATGTCTCAATTTTCTTATCTACATAATGAGAATAATAATTGTATTTCCATCACTGAATAGATATGAGACATGAATTAAACTTTTTTGAGGCATTAGAACAGGGTCTTGTACCTAGAAAGTTATCAAATGTACTAATTTTTAAATTATTATTTCTGGATTTCAGTTTGCAAGAATAACTCCATAGGCTATTTATTTGTTTATTTTTAATTAATTAATTAATTTTTTTTGCAGTGCTGTGGATTGAACCCAGGGCCTCATGCGTCCTAGGCAAGTGCTCTACCACCGCGTTATATCCCCAGCCCCATAGATGTTATTCATGAAAAACAAATTGAGGAATCACGTATACTACCAATTTTATAGACATTTTTCTTCTGAAATCTCTAATGAGAAATAATTCCAACTTAATTTTGAAGTCAAACATAAAAATATTGTGTGGTCTCTATTTTTAATGTGATTTTTTTTGGAATGAAATAATCACTTTATTACCCAGATAAGATTTCTGTGAACGCCTTATGAAAGCATGAGGCTTAAGAAATAAAGCACTGAATGTAAGCACGAGAAGTAACATCCTTAAACTGATTCTATCTTCTCTATAATTCCATAAAAATGTTTAAATTATCTCCACCAAATTCATGTTTTGTTCATATGTAATAAAATATTCTCTTTGGTCTGATCAAGTTTTCACATCAAATCAAAATCAATCTTAAGACATTTACTCAAAGGCATATTTCTTTTCATAGATGAGGAAGCACCTAAAGTTGAATGCTACTTAAGACATCTTGGGTCCATGTTGGAGGAGAGGGCTAACTTTAGGATCAAGATGAAGTACAGAATCTCAGCTCCAAACATAAATATAAAATTGTCTTTGGTGACACCCTTTGGTTATCAAACAATTCTCATTTTTTTAAGAAATAAAATTTTCTTTAATATACATGTTAACCCTACAAAGAGAAAGGAATTTTCCAGCATCTTGTTGAAACTGTTGAGTTAAAGTGATCCAAAAATTGTTTATAAAATATTGGTAAATAAATTCACTTCACAAAAAGTTTTTAACTTGTTTAGAAAGAATTTGAGAATTGTTTGGTGCCACTTGTATACAGAACATCTACAGATGTGTCATCATTTCTGGGGTTTTTTTGTGTTTTTTTTTTTTTTTTTTTGATATTTATTTATTTATTTTTTTTTTAGTTTTCAGCGGACACAACATCTTTGTTTGTATGTGGTGCTGAGGATCGAACCCAGGCCGCACGCATGCCAGGTGAGCGCGCTACCGCTTGAGCCACATCCCCAGCCCTCTGTTTTTTTTTTTATGAGACTCAAGCAATTCTGATATAAAACCAAGTCAACATCTTTATTGATATGAGAGCCAATGAATCTCCTTTAATGGATAAAGCCATTTGGATTGTTTGTTTTTCAAACACCTGCAATGTATCACAACAGATATAGACTAACTTTTTGTTTCCTTGAAGGCTTTCTTCTGAGGCTTCAGTGCTATAACTCTAGTCATTCCTTCCTAGTGCCATAGAAGTTGATTTCACCTAGTAAGATACTACTCCTTGAACATTACTTTAAGCAAAAATTAATGGTAGGAGATAAAATAGGTCATGGTGTAGTGACATGAAGACCAATTCATCAGGAAACTATAACAATTAAAAGCATGTATGCATGTGTTAATAGACTATCAAAATACATGAAGCAAAAACTGACAAATAAAAAGAAAAATAAGCAACAGAAAATAGTTAAGACTTTAATATGTTGCTATAAATGATACCTACAAATATATGGAAGGTCAATATGGAAATAGAAAACATTATCAACACTGTAAATCACTCCACTCAATAACAATAAAATATACATTTTTCTCAAGTGCACATGGAATATTCTCTAGGAAACAACATTTGCTAATCCATAAAAAAATACCTCAGTACATTTGAAATAATATAAATAAAATGAAGAATGTTTTGGACTACAACAGGATAAGATTAGAAACCCGTAACAACAACAACACACACAAAAAAAAAAAAAAAACTAAAAAAAAAAGGTAAGGAACTCACACAAATGTCAAAAGTAATTAGAAAGTTTTTAAATAATAAATTAATCAAAAAGTAAGACAAACTGTTAGGAAATAATTAGATACAGTTTTTTACTTTGGTACATTTAGTTTAATAAAAATAATGACAAAATATATCAAAATTTGCAGATGCTTCTAAAGCAGTCTTTACAGGAAAATTTATCACTTTAACACTTATATTCTCTATCAATTAGAGAAATGCAAACTAAAACTACATGAGATTTCATCTCACTCCAGTTAGAATAGAAATTACCAAGAATATAAGTTAACAATAAATATTGGAGAGAATTCAGGGGAAAGTACACTCATTCATTGCAGGTGAGACTGAAAATTGTTACAACCACTCTGGAAAGTAGTGCAGAGATTTCTCAAAAAACTAGGAATGGAAGCACCATTAGACCAAGCTAACCCCATCCTTGGTACATATACAAAGGACTTAAAATGAGTACACTACAGTGATGCAGTCACATCAATGTTTATAGCGGCTCAGTTCACAAGAGCTAAACTATGGAACCAACTGATGTGCCCTTAAACAGATAAATAGGTAAAGAATATATGGTATATATATATATATATATATATATATATATATATATATATATATATGCATTGGAGTATTACTCAGCCATAAAGAAGAATGACATTTGCCAGTAAATGGTGGATCTGGAGATCATCATGCTAAGAGAAATAAGCCAATCCCAAAATATCAAAGATTGAATGTTTTTGCTGATATGTGGAAGCTAACTCAGTAGATTAGACAAAGGGGAATAAAGGGAAGAAAGGGGAGTAATAGGAATGGTGGTAGAATGAATCTAACATAATTTTTCTGTGTACATATATGAAAATACCTAAGTGAATACCACCATCATGTACAACCACAAGAATGGAGTCCTAATTAGAATATGATATATTTAATGATTGTATAATTATATTATAATGAATTCTTCTGTCATGTTAGTAAAAAAAAACAATAAAAAGAAGAGAATAAAAAGAGAAGCCACAGTTAGGAAAAACTATTTACAAATTACATAAATGACAAATGATTTGTACCCAGAATGTAATTCTGATATTGCAAAATCTATATACTAGAGATGAACAGCTCTGTACACAGATAGTTGAATATAGGAACAAGATTGGAATCAGCATTTACAGGTAAGTGAGGGGGTGATAGAAAAATGGGTATGGTAATGGCTTATACTCGGAGATGTCAGCATAAACTCATACTGCTTGGTGTAGATACAGATGGCTACATAAAGGAATATTTATAGACATTCCTGTGTGTATGGACATGTTACTATGCATGTATATCTTCCATTTGTTTGTCAGATAAAAAGGACTGAAATCAAGTACACCCTATTAGCAAGAAGTATATCCAGTACCCACATCTTGGTTTCATATAACATTCTTAAAAGGAATCAAGGCTATCTAGAGAAATAACTGATTCAAAGAGTTTAACATGGACTATAGAAGATGATCCAGGAGCATCTAATAGCACAAAAAGAACAAGGGCTTGCTAAAAAAAAATGAGTAAGTAAATGAAGTCCAACATTAGTGGGTATATGTCAAAGGACATAGGTATCAACTAAAAAAGTTCCTTTGGGTCAAAGCAGGGACAACTTGAAAACCAAAATAAAATGTATTTGATTTATAATCAAAAGTAAAATAAATATCTGTAAGTTAATATTAATATAAATAAACTACTAAATGAATGAGTTTGGCTCAACTTTGATTTCTTATAGTATACTGAAAGTGTGCTAAGTTTCATTCATTCATCATTTTCTTTTGCTAACAGCCTTTCCTACTAGAAATATTTTCTCTGTCCTGAACATAAAATAAAAAATGTGCTGAAATATTTTTATACTGTAGTATAGTACTATATGTGAATATTGTTGATCTAGTCTGCAAAGTCTGTATTAAACAGAATTTTTTCTTTCTTTCTTTCTTTTTCTGTATAGGGAATTGAACCCAGGGACACTCAATCACAAGAGTCACATTCCTAACCCTTTGTTTAATTTTAGTTTTGAGATAGGGTCTCACTAAGTTGATTAGGACCTCACTAAGTTTAGACAGAATTTTCTTGAAATCTAAATCTTCAGAAATCGAAGGTTTCCCAAGGGATACAAAATAATTCCACTATGAAACCATGCCTTTATTCTCTTTATTGAAACAGCAAAGATTTGCTATTAGTAAGGTTTAGATGCAATGCCTTGAAGAAAATTATTAGTAATATTTACATTCAAGTCTTTATTACTAAGAAACACTCTCATACAGAGAGTCATCCGATGTCGGGGTGGGGGACTGTGTTTTAGAGTCTCTGATTCAACTAAACTTTTTGTTTCTTGAATTTCTTGAGGATTCTGTCACGAATCTGCTTGGTCTTGACACTGTAGACAATGGGGTTCATGAGAGGTGGAACCAGCAAGTATACATTGGCCATGAGCACATGGATAATTGGAGAAGCATTTTGCCCATAGCGACGGATCATAGATAGCCCAATCATTGGTGTGTAGAAAGTGAGTACAGCACAGATATGGGAAATGCAGGTGTTGAGGGCTTTCACTCTCTCTGCCTTGGAGGCAATACTCAACACTGTGCTCAGGATGAGGAGATAGGAGAGGAGAAGGAGCACTGAATCAAGTCCCATGGAGCAGATGACCACCATGAGACCATAGATGCTGCTGACTCGGCGACTGGATACAGTTGTCTTAAGTCCTGATGCAAGCAGAAGGGGTAGGAAAGAATATTGACAGCATGATATTGAAGCCTCTTCAGGAGGAAGGAAGCTGGAAAGACCAGGGTCAAGGCCCTTCCTGCAATTGCCAACCCAATCCCAGTGATCACGCCATGGGTTAGAATGGTTGCATAGCGCAGAGGCTCTCGGATTGCTACAAAGCGGTCAAAGGCCATGGCCAATAGCACAGCAGACTCAATTATTGAAAAAACATGAATGAAGTACATCTGGACCAGGCAAGCATTGAAAGGGATATCCCGGGCATGAAACCAAAAGACGCTCAACATAGTGGGCAAGGTAGTGGTGGATAGACCCAAGTCAGTGAGCGCCAGCATGGATAGAAAGTAGTACATTGGTTGGTGGAGTAAAGTCTCAGTCCTTATTATAAAGAGGATAGTAATGTTCCCTGCAACTGAAGTGCCATAAACCAAGAATAAAGGAAGAGAAATCAAGCCATATCTGTTTTCAAGGCCTGAGAAGCCTGTCAGTAGGAAGTGAGGGTACAGGGCAGAGTCATTAAAGACAGACATCGTGCTGATGGAGGCACCCTCAGTCTACCTGGAGAGAAAAGAACAAGAAAAAATTGGGATAGAAGTCAACACTTTGAGAAGAAAAAATGCTCTGATGTACACTGCCCTGTTTAGTGTTTTTGATAACCCCCCTTTGCTCATTATATTTAATTTTCACTAGTAATATTTTACCAACTAATTTATTCTTTTTTCATGACAGATTTATTAAGAGCATATCAAAGGAAATCTAGTAGTTCTAAGAATAGGGAAATGAATGAGAAATGTCTTGAAATACTTAAAAACTAGTGGATGGAAAGCTAAAATTAGATGTTTGCTTAAAACTTTAAAGGTGATATGAAAACATAAGATGCAAAATACAAAAGATGATTGAAGTTCATTCAGGAAGGTCAGGGAAGACTTAATGAAAATGATTCTTAAGTCGGGTCTAAAATTCAAATACAAGTTAGATGGAATCAAAGGGATATGATCTGTATTCCATACTGATGGGCACCCAGGTCATTGTAGATGTATAACTAAGAGTGTAGTGGCTCTCCTCTTACCTGGTGATGCATTCCAAAATCCCAGTGGATGTCTCAAACTGTGGATTGACTTAACCCTGCATGTATTGTTTATTCCTACAACATATACCTATGATGAAGTTTAATTCATAAACTAGTATAAAAATAGATGAATAACAACAACTAATGCTAAAACTGAATGATTACAATGTACATCAATAAGTTATTTTAAACTGACAAATTATTTATTTCTAGAAGTTTCCCTTTAATATTAGACCAAGGTTGATAGATAATTGAAATGGCAGAAAACAAAACTGTGGGTAAAGGGGGAACTACCTTATTACTGTAGTTACCAGTTATTGTATGACTACTATATTACTGTCAGCCATATAATCTAGCAAAATTACAAGACATGAGTGGCTCTCCAGGTACTTGTTGGAGCTAAGTTTAAAAAGAAATGGAGGGCTGGGGTTGTAGCTCAGTGGTAGAGTGCTTGCCTGGCATACATGAGGCATGGGGTTTGATTCTCAGAACCACATACAAAATAAATAAATCAAAGGTCCTTCAACCACTAAAAAGAAAAAAAAAATAAAATAAAGAAATGGATCAGAATTTATAAAGGTACTTGCATGTAAATATAAAGGGATTGTACTCATTCTTAGAGGACTCGATATACTAACTAAAAAGTAGTCAGCTGAACAAATGTATATTATATCAATGACAAACTGGGACCAATGATACAAAAGTTCTAAATTGGCAGAGAGAAAGCATGGAAATTATTAGGGTGATAACAATGAATGAAAGTAAACTCTAACAGTGAGATAAGGATATATACTCATAAACATTATATACAAAGAAAAATAGCACAGATAATGTGGATTATCATATGCTAAGAGAAAGAAAAAAAGTGAACTAGGATAAATTCATTTCTTTTTTAAAACTTTTCTCATTTATTGAAAGAGACAGAAACAAACAACAAAAAAAGTCCTGCATGAAAATTTGGGGAAATTCGTGAGTTAACTTATGATAAATTCGAGGTATGTATGTTGAGGAGGTAGTGGTATATTGCTCCAAATAGAGGTTTGTGAAAGAGGAAATTACTTTCACTCACATGAAATTATTAAGAACTCCTAACAAAACAAGAAGAGAGAGAGAAAAAAACATTTTTTTCAGAGAAAAAAAGAAAATGAAAACAAAGAAAGAATGCAATATTGAGTTATAAGAAGGGTTTAGAGCTTGGGTTTTTAGTTAATATTCGATAGCAATATTTGGAAAGAACAGGGAGTTCAGTACAATTCTCGCCTTAGGTACTGACTATGCCTGGAGATGAGTTTACAGATGAGTTCACAGGCCCCTTTGTGGGTTACTCCATCTTTAGCTCTTGCCTGTCCCAGAGCAGTGATCTCACATGAACAATCAGTGATACCTCTTGACATTCCCTACCACTTCTTGAATGCTTTAAATATTTGATGTACTAACATCTTACCCTTTCTTCTCACCTCGAAGCCTTCTTTCTGTCACAACTGAACCCTCAGGTGCAGACAGCCATTCATCCTGATGTAGGTTGGCTGGGTTTCCAGCCCGTCAACTTAGGGACTTCTTGTAGGTACAGAAAGCACTGAAGATAGATGTAAAAGAATAAAATACAGTGTTCTAAGACAGACAGCTCTTCAAGGAACTGTAGATACCCTGAGCAAAGAAACAGTCTCTTCTCTTGTGAAGACAAAGCCAGGGTAGGGTGACTTTTGCCTCCAGCATCCTGAAGTTCTGTTTTTAAACTACTCTCACCTGTCTACAACTCTTGACTGGTACATTCCCTTAAGACCATTATTTTCCCCTTCATTGTAACCCTAGGGAAATACAAGTTATTTCTACTGTTCAAGGATGGGAGGTGGACACACTGATCTGGATTCACAGATTCAAAGTAATTGAGAAGTGTTGAAGATCATCTAATAGAGAAAAGGAATGAATTTTGTCAAAATAAGGAAACATTTGTGCACTAAGAAACTAGGAAAATTGTTTTGGTTCATATTTTGCAACTATACCATAGAAACAGAGAAGCTCTTCTTTGTTAACTTATTGTAAAGAATGTAAAACAATTGTATATAAAATGCAAATTTATTACTCAAAAGTAGTGCTTATGATAGCAATCATAAATCCTAAAAAACTATGGGATCCATGTGTAGTTGGTCCATAATACCCAATTCTTCTAGCAGACCCCTGACAGAAGGGTGATATTTCACAATCTTTATTATCCTGCAGCAATTCCTATTTACACTATCCCACAAATATGTCTCTGAGCAATACTGAGTTGTTATATTACATGGAAAAGACAAAAGCGTGATATTATATAAAAAGTTATACCTTCATATCCTCTCAATCAATCAATCAATCAATTCCCCAAAGTACAGTTGTAAAGCACATCTTATCTGTTCATTCACAAACTGTACACATAATAAATATGAGAAGAGAGGACAGATTTGGCAATACTCCTCTATTTTAAGTTAAAATACTTTATGCTGTTTGTCTTATTTCTTTACTACCCTTCCTCTTTCAGCACTAGCAAATTTTTCTCAAATGTCTTGTTGCTGTTTCTCAAGACCAGTTCCTTTTCCCCCACTTTTTCTCTTGAAGCATGACATAAATAACCAGTATTTTTCCATCCACAATGTAAACTACTTATTAGATCCCTTGTTTTGATTTTATTCTCTTTAATGCCAGATAAATTCATGTCATTACTAATAAAATCTTGACTCAGGGGAAAATGACTTCATGGGGGTTCTCCTACGAAATAATATGTTTACTAGCCTCTCAAATTTCACCTTCTCTAAAATTTGCTCTAATTATATTTTCCTTCTCAAATGGCTTTTATTGAATCTTACAACAAACCATTATTTTAAAGTGTTAATGGCCAAAAAATACATATCAATTATCTATCAATTCTTAGTCCACTATATTTGGGAGAAACTTCCCATTGTAATAGCAATGTGTGTGTATATCCATAAATTCCATTAGTATATTAACATTTCCAGGAAATCAAGAATTGGGAAAATCTGTTTAACAGTTAGATCAGTCTTTTCCAGACACTTTTCACACATTTTACCCAGATAGCATATGTTAACATAGGAAAATTGTTTTCTGTGAAACTCAATGTGAGAATGACAGACTGGAAAATCCTTGGTTTAAGGCAGCAATTCCCAACAAAAGTAGTTTTGCCTTACAGAGGATTTTTGGCAGTATCTTGGGGCATGGAAATGAGACAGAAGTTTCATAACTGGGGAAATGCTCCTGACGTCTAGAGTGTAGTTACTTGAGATATTTCTAAGCATCCATCTAAAAAAGGAGGGGGGGTCATCTAGTCCATTGTGAATAGTGCCATTGTTGAAAAACAATATTTTCTGGAGAAAAATACACTAAACATCAAAATTTTTTGTTTAATTCTCAGGTTATGTAAAGACAGAGGGTGTGGATATTAGACTCCTGACACTAAAGAACATGGACTCTAGATGTTGAGGGCCTTTTCTTTGAGTGCCCAGTCTAACATGAACTGTACAACCTAAGAAAATTATATAGACTTTTTTACCTCTTTTTCTTCATTTGTGAAATGAATTAATAATGATGATATCTTTTTTTTATTTATTGGTTGTTCAAAACCTTACAAAGCTCTTGACATATCATATTTCATACATTAGCTTCAAGTGAATTATGAACTCCCATTTTTACCCCAAATACAGATTGCAGAATCACATCGGTTACACGTCCACATTTTTACATAATGCCATACTAGTAGCTGTTGTATTCTGCTACCTTTCCTATCCACTACTATCCCCCCTCCCCTCCCCTCCCATCTTCTCTCTCTATCCCATCTACTGTAATTCATTTCTCTCCTTGTTTATTTTCCCATTCCCCTCACAACCTCTTATATGTAATTTTGTATAACAATGAGGGTCTCCCTCCATTTCCATGCAATTCCCCTTTTCTCTCCCTTTCCCTCCCACCTCATGTCTCTGTTTAATGTTAATCTTTTCTTCCTGCTCTTCCTCCCTGCTTTATTCTTAGTTGCTCTCATTATATCAAAGAAGACATTTGGTATTTGTTTTTTAGGGATTGGCTAGCTTCACTAAGCATAATCTGATCTAGTGCCAATTAATGATGATATCTAATAGGTTTTTAATGCAAAATTTTTATTGTAATTCCATTTTGCCACATGTTTAGTGCTGTGTAGTTATACATAACAATGGGGTTTATTTTACACATGAATAAATGTGTATAACATGATTTTCTTTGTTTCAGAGGATTATCTCTTTCTCTCCTCTCCTCCCTACCCCAATCTCCTTTCTTTACTCTATTGATTTTCCCTTCTATTAATTGGTTTTAATGTATTGTAGTCAATGCATTGTAATTACATATAGAATTGGAGTACATTGTGATGTATTCATACATGCACATAGCATCATTTGGTCAACTTTACTCCCCAGTTTTGACTTCTCTCTCCCATCCTCC